GATTTTCACACAGGGTGGCATTGACAAATTTTCCTCTCCTTAGGGGGGCGGCAGCTTCAAAAAGGTTGAGAATCACTGGGCTAGTGTAACCAGATCTGAGCCACAAAATTTGAATGACCACTAGATGGTGGCAAAGAGTTGGGGTTTTCTGTATGCTTTCACATTGTCTGAATTTCTGCAGCCCTGGTCTGGTAGCCCTACAAGTAGGGTGATTTGAGATTCAGTGGGCCATGCTGTTGTGATGCCAGCCTGCATTCACAAAAATAATAGCCAGCTTCCCATATTGAGAATATACATTCCTTTGTTTCAAGCAGAAGTAACATGTAGAGAAAGAGGTAACTTTGGTAATGTAAAGCAAGGACAAATGCCCCAACTTCTTGTTTTCCTGGACAGAAACAAATCTTTATTCTTTTAAAATAAGTGGCAGAATTCTACAGAAATGGAGAAAGAAATTGCTCTGTCTGAATGAAGGTGTACCACCTTCACAACAGCTCCAATAAATGGCTATTGTTTCTGCCTGCTGGATAAGTTCGGGCAGAGTGGGTGCATTCCAGGTCCCTTCTATTAAATGTTGCCATCTTGCAGGACCTAGGAAGTGTGCCTTCTTTGTCGCAACCCCGCCTTTGGAACAGCAGGGAATGCTTCCTGGAGTTCTAAAAAAAAAAATTAAAACTTGGCTTTGTCCTACTCCTGGGGTTAATGTATCGGGGGGAGGGCTACTGCACTGTGTTTTAATGCTGTTTTTAGTCTGGGCTGTTTTGTCTTGTCTTTGTTTTTAATTGTTTTAACTTAGTATTAGACATTGTAAGCTGCCCAGGGTCCGCTGGAGTGGGTGGCTATAATACATTTAATGAAATAAATAAAATAAATTTCAGAGGCTGGGGAGGTCCAGGGAAAAGAAGCAGAGGTCTATGCTTCAGATTCATGTCAATTCTAATGTTTTATGCAGAACATGCGTTACATTTTAATTTCTTTTGCATAAATCCTGTATTCTTTATGTCTCTACAATCTCAGCAACTGTATATACTTCAGTTATTTATGCATGTATCAGGTTATGTATCAGGATAATTTTTTCCTAAGGTATTTATTCTTTGAGGTCTGTAAAACTAGAAGCCTGTGAGAATTGTAACAGATCACTGCCATCTTACAGTCTCTTAATTTTTTTAATTTAACCTATTTGTCAGCTGCTGTATATTATAAATAGGATAGCTCTGTACTCCATATTCTACAGCACTGTTATCTGCAATTTTAAGTTTTTACTGTTAAAAAGTCATTTTATATATATTTTTTCTTTTTTTCTTCCACTTTCCTTCCTCCTTTTACTTTCTAAAAATGGTTGCTTTTTCTTTATCTCTTGTGAGATTGGTCTTTCTCCCAAGGAGGGGAAATGGCCAATAACCTCCAGTCACATGCCTCGATGCTATTAGACCCAGAAGTGGCACTATAGCAATTATTTCATTTTTATCTTTTTATTCACCAGAAAGGTAGCAGAGTGTGTGATTAGTTGATCACAAAAGATTGAGAACCACCAACTGGGGAAAGCTAATTTAACCTCCAGCCACCATTAATTATGTTTGTTTTTGGTAAGATTGCATTTGAGCAGGAAGTATAGTATTTTTTATTAGACTGTGGAGGAAAGTTTATGAAAGTTCTGTATGGACATCTATTCATTTTATATTGATTCTCTAAGTAAGACACCAGGGA